AACAAGCCAGATGGCCATAGTTTGCAAACTCTTAGTGTAGATTAAAAGAGAGAAAACAGTTTAGAGACAAAAGACAAAGATATGTTGTGAGGGAAGTCCTCTTTGGACTCTTTCTGGGAAGATTGTTATGACTTGGCTATGTAGTGATGTTTTTGACTGAGAGGAAAACCAAGGCCTACTAGATTCTAGGAATAATGCAATTGAGTTTTTTTCAGAGAAGCAAGGAAACCCACCTGAAGGCACACACATAGGCAAGTAGAAGGAATAAAAGCTAGACTATAGACATGAAGCCAAGCCAAAGGGGTGTTAAGTGCATTTTAAGTGTTTTCTTTTCTCCTTCTTAAACTCCCATAACTTCAGGATCCAGAAGCATTGGCTCAATTAATGCTGTCCGTACCACTAACCAATGATGGAAAATATGTACTATTAAACGATCAACCAGAGGACAATGATGGAAGTCCACGCGAAAATACAGGCGCAGAATCTGAAGCATAACTCTTGCGCTTTTGGGGGAAGAGCACCCAAGGAGAGCTACCTCCTTAAGGGTTTTCAACTTCTCTGATACACAGGCACACGAACTGATTTCAGAAAGCTGACAATCGCTTGTGGAATGGACTCTCGATGCCTTGGTACTGAGACTTGGGAGGGAAACAGTAAGAAATGGTTGACAACAGTCCTACCCATCTACAAATGTTATTTTAGGTGCTTTGTGGTAAGTCCTTTTCTTAGATTATTATTCAGCGCTCAGATTGAAAGTTATGAGAAAATGCATCGTTCACTTTATTTGAATGTCATCTTTTTTCAGTTTCCAGTATCCTTTTTTAAAAATGGCAAAAGCCTAGATTTATAATTAAACACTAAATATTTCCTATTAATATACTCTATTTTTGTATTTTACTTAATAAGCTTTAAGTGCCTGTCATTCTGAAAATTGTATTTATAATCAAGCTTGTCTCATAATTGGACCTAATAAGCATTAATCTGTGCAGTTAGGTGCCGAGCCCTGCTCTGAGGCTCGAGCACTAGCAGCAATGCAGGTCTAGTTTTGATCATTGTTCCAGGCATCATGCAATAAAAACTAGCAGATGAGTACCACAAAAGATACTCAGTTTTACAGTGGATCCTTAATGAACCAGCATTCAAAAGTTTACGATCCTTTAGATGTTACTGTTTTTAGTGGTGGATCACCATGAACAGCTCTGCCAGGTCCTGTTTCTTCTGAGCCAGACCCTCCTCAAGGAAGGGGCCAATTAATTTTAAAACTCACTTGAAGAGCAGTTGGTGTAAAGTTCCTATTTCCACTCCGGCATCCCAGCCCACTCCACCATTCCCTCCTACCCATAAAATAAGTATAATGATCTTGAACTGGTACAGTGTGTTTAATTATAACCAAGTTCAACAGAATGTTATTGTCTTTGTAATAAATTAACCTAGCAATAAATGCTAGCAAATAAAATCAATCATTCTGTTTCTTTTGCTTTTTGTGGTTATTTTCTAGAACATCCCTGGAAGAAAACTAAAGTTGGTTTTATAGCTTTAACAGTTTTATTTGCAAAAACTAGGGCAGAATGAAATCACAGCAGAGAGGATGACTATCAAAAAATACCTATATTCAACCTGAGTAATGGGATCTCAATGCCAAGTTTTTAACAGGTGTTGCTTTTAAAATGATGGGTTAATAAAACAATTTTTGCAACCCCAAATTAAGTTAATGTTATATAGGATCCATCTGAGGAATCCACTTCTACAATGTGTACCATCAGAGACATAGTGAGCTGGTCCAAGTCAGTATGAAATTACACACTAATGCCTTACAACATACATATCATAATGATGTCAGGTCAGAAGTCTCTAACAGGCTGCAAGAGCCACAGTCCTCTGAACTTCTTTTTCTTGCTTAGAACTGTTCAAGTGGGAGGGGAAGAATCTCAAGTCATGAACAATGCTGGAAACTAAAATCAAGCTTTAAAAAAAAATTTTGTTTAAAGAAAGAATGGCTTAACAAAGCCACAAAGCATGCAAATCCTAAGAAAAGCATGAAGACTGAAATTCAGTACAGTAAGTCTAATCACAAAAACACCAGAGAGAATGAAAACAAAAAATTAACTGAGCTTATTAGCAAGCATGACCCACAAAACATTAGTATTCAGAATACACAATTGGGATAGGACAGTTTCTTCAAGAAACGATCTTTGGAAAACTGAACCACTATTGTACACCACACACAAAAATTAAGTCAAAATCAAGACAATATAAAATCTGAAATCATAAAACTCCTAGAAGAAAAACAGAGTAAGCTCCTTGACATAGGTCTTGGTGGTGATTTTTTAAAATCTGACACCAAAAGCAAAAATAAACGAGAGAGACTGACTACAGATTTTGCACAGCAAAGAAAATCAACAAAATGAAAAGACAACCTACTGAATGGGAGAAAATATTTGCAAATCTTATCTGATTAAGGTGCTAATACCCAAAACATATAAAGAATTCATACAACTCAGCAGAACACTCTGGTTAAAAATGGGCCACAGATACATGAAAAGATGCTCTACATTATTAATCATCAGGGAAATGCAAATCAAAATCACATTTCACAACTGTTAGAATAGCTATCATCCAGAAGAAAAAGCACTGGTGAAAATGTGGAGACAAGTGTTATCGGAGGGAATGTAAATTGGTGTAGCCACTATGGAAAACCGTATGGAAGTGCCTCAACAACAAAAAAAAAAGAACTACCAAAAAATCCAGCAATTCCACTCCCGGGTGTTCATCTGAAAAAAAAAAAATACTAGAAAACATCTACACCCCCATGTTCACTGAGGCATTTTTTACAATAGCCAAGATATGGAAACAACCCAAATGTCCATCGATGGATAAATGGATTGACAAACTGGTATACCTCTACAAGGGAATAGTCTCCAGCCATTAAAAAATTAAAAAATGAAGTCTTGCCATTTCCAACAACATGGATCTCGAAGGCATTATGCTAGGTGAAATAAATCAGAGAAAAACAAATACTGTATAATCTCTCATGTGGAATCAAAAAAATAGGTAAAAATGAAAGCTCATAGATACAGATTGATGGTTACAGTGGGAAGGGAGAGTGATAGGTGAACTGTTTCTGGTTTCACTTACATAGAGTTTTTAAAATCTGATTCATTAATGTTTCCCCCTCATTTTAAGGATGAGAGCATTGCTATAGAACAGTGATGGCGAACCTATGACACGCGTGTCAGAAGTGACACGCAAACTCCTTTTTGGTTTATTTTTCTTTGTTAAATGGCACTTAAATATATAAAATAAATATCAAAAATATAAATCTTTGTTTTACTATGGTTGCAAATATCAAAAAATTTCTATATGTGACACGGCACCAGAGTTAAGTTAGGGTTTTTTTAAATGCTGACACGCCGAGCTCAAAAGGTTCGCCATCACTGATATAGAATGTTTCACTACACACAGATCTTACATATGTGTTCTAGAATGTATAATGCTTGAAGATGATCCCAGAATTAAGACATCAGATGGATACTGATTGAAAAATAAATTTCATCTACTCTCCTGAGTATGTCATGTCTCCACTAATGGGAACTGGAGCTATCAAGTAAACCAGGTAGTGAAGAGCCAAACTATTAAAATAGAAGAAAAAATTTATAAACTTGTCCATATAGACTTATTACACTACATGTAAGAACTTACCATATGAACAATTCCAACTTTGCCATCACCATCTCTCAGTTCACAGTCCTATGACTTCACTTAATCTCTACAGATTGCCCACTTATTCTGGATTTTGTTTTTAACTGAAATCTTTGGCAACCTGTTGAACTGTTCCTAACATCTAAAAACCTTTGTGAGTTTTTTTTACTGTAGCATTAAAACTTTCTTAAGAAATGGAATACTGTCAGTCTAAAACTTATTCAACTTTAGCTGGGAAAAGAACTAAAAATTTTAAAACTGGTTAAAGTCTACCTTTTAACACTTAGCCAACCCAGCATAAAAGAGAAACATGATGATGTATGTGATGGTATTATCTTTCTCACAATCTTAAAAATGTAATACCTCAGAAAAGGAACATCAGTCAGACTTCACCGAGGACAATTTCTGCTGTTATTTAAAAGGCTCGTGTCTCATCTCCAGCATAATATTTAAAAGGCATTCATTGCTCTGGCTGGGTGCTCAGACGGTTGGAGCATAGTCCCGTACACCAAAAGGTTGCGGGTTCGATCCCCAGTCTTTGATTCCTGGTCGGGGGAGTACAGGAGGCAACCACTTGATGTTTCTCTCTCACATCAATGTTTGTTTTTTTGTCTCTCCCCCTTCCTCTCTCCTTTAAAAATCAATGAAAACATATCCTCAGGTGAGGATTAAAATAAAATAAAAGGCACTCAGTTGTTGTTTTAGTTTGATTCATGTTTGCAAATGGCATCTGAGTTATTTCTAACATTAAACACTGCAAACTAATGATCCCTTCCCAGGATTAGGATTTTAAGTTAATCATGTAGGTTCTTTTTATATGAAAATAGCAAGCAACAGAAAGATCAAGAAGGTACAAAGGAAAGAAAAAAAAAGTCTTCATTTGGGATGCATGGAGAGGAGCCAACAATAATCATACTTCAAATTCCTTGCCTATGTGCATGCAAGTATTTTTTTAAAGATAGAGTCCATATACTTTATTAGATTAAAAGGACTCTAAAAAGGTTAATGTTATATATTGTTTTAAGGTATTTAATTTTGAGGGGGAAAAAATATTTTTAATTTTGGCCTGGCTGGCATGACTCAGTGGTCGAGGGTCAATTCCCGATCAGGGCACGTGCCCTGGCTGCAGGCTTGATCCCCAGGGTGGGGCATGTATGAGGCAGCTGATCAATGATTCTCTATCATCATTGATGTTTCTATCTCTCTCATCCCTCCCTTCCTTTCTGAAATCAATAAAAATGTATTTTAAAAAATTATAGCTATTAAGATATTTAATTTTGAACATAAACATCCAGGGGAAGTACATTTTTAAAATTACATTTATTGTTTTATTATACATATTGTATTCTATTAGAACTGAGGAAAGGGGTGGCCCCACTCCAGTAACAAACTTGCCATCTTTTACAAAATTTAATTAGAACTGACAGTGTTATGGTTAGCATTTAATTCCTGAGATTTTTAACATTATTGTTTTCTGTGAATTTACAACAAATGCTCACACTAATTTTAAATTACAGTATGTCTGGAAAAAAATGAAAATAGCATTAATATGTTAGCAAGGAAAACAATCATCCAAATGTGTATATTAACTTAGGCATGAAATTCAAGCCCTGTTAACTCAGCACTTTAATAACATTTAAATATACTTAATCTTTTTAGAAATTTTATTTCAACTATGTGAACTTACTATAATTTATCCAGACTGTAGTGACATTATTTTGACTAAAGGCAAAATAATAACCTATCACTTTCTTCTCAACTGCCAGTACCCATACAGTCAGCATGTGAATTCTATCTAGGATCGATAAATAACTGATGTGTGGGGATAATGAACAAAGACACCTGATTCTCTTGTAATTACATTTTCTATCCCTTTTAAATGAGATGATTTTAGGGAAGTTAGAGGAAAAAAAAAAACAGAAAAGCAATACTTTGCTACGAAATGGTGACTAATTTGATAGAATCCAATGCAAGATCATTCATATAAACATTTACAACAATGAAAATATAAATTATTAATTATGCAGCATGCTTTAGGGCCACTTCTACAGTTAGAATGAATTACAAATATTAAATGCCTTTAGTCCATTCTCTGTCCATAATTCGGTAAGTCACGTTTACACAGTTAAAAAATATATATTTCCTATCTATTCGTTTCTTCTGACTTTTAACAGTGAAAGCTTTTATCTTGGGCTGGGAAAACAACCCTGACTGTAACCGTGAATAGAGGGGGCATTGTACACCTGTTCCAAAAGCTGGAAATCAAACAACAATGTTAGAATTACTTACAGGATTTACCTGAAGAAATGCTTCATAGGCAAGTGCAATGGAAAATCAAACATTTCCCAAAATGATGTTAGTATTACATGTAAAGTTTTAAACTTCCTTGTTTTCATTGTAAATGTATGAGTTTTACATTAAAAGATTATAGGCCATGATTAATAACCATTTAACTATTAACTGACATAAAGCTTTACAAAAATAAATCTAGTAGCTTGCTGGGAGCTAAATTTACTCAAAATCTTTCTATACTTTTTAAAGCAGTAAATGATTTATTAGAAACTTTATTATCACAGTGGTACAGTGCTTAATCTGATGTCTTAGATTATACTTGGTTTAAAGAAAAAGTCTGCCCAAGCCATCACCAAGATTTCAGTTCAGCCTAATGAAGAAGAAACCTGAGTTTGGATGTAAAATAAGCAATCATTCATTTTTCTCAGGTATCATACATGTGCCTTCAACCCAAAGTGAAGCTTTAAGCAGAACTCTATGGCTTTATCTGAATTTTCTTTCATCCTGTGTATGAAGTAAATCTTAAATTTAAAGCGGCTGTTAGAGGTTAAATGTTCTCAAAGCAATGTAAACTAGTATAAAATGTCTCACCAAGACATCAGTAGCTCTTGTGAATACCAGGAAATTAACAATGAAATCAGTTTATATTGTACATAAAGGGTACATAACACACTATCCCTCGTCTCCAGTATCAAATCCATCTTCATACAGTCCTTTATAATATTGGTATGTATGCTTCATAAATTTCAGGCTCAATTCCTTTTGTTTAAACATGTATTTACTGGCTGTACATAGCATATGCATTGAATTTCCAATGACTGGACAAATATGGATCAAAGATCTATACAAATACAAATTCTAAACATTCATGTGGATTACAAGAGATCTGAGGTGGCAGTTTAGGAATCTGGATTGGCCCTTTTATAACTCCACTTCCTAGGCACATCTGGCCTAAAGTCCAGGCAAAAATCCAACTTTAAAATCTCATTCTCAACCTTTGAAAAGTTGAGCCTTTGGAAGAAGAATGAACTTCTCTTTAGAACACTGCCTTAAAGAGTCCCAACATATTTCCCAGAGATGTGGCCCAGGAAACACTTCGTTAGCTTACTAACATCCATGTCAGTGGCAATAGTAATGACACATTCCGATGCTGTCACGGGCACCGCATACCATCAATATCATTTGACAACACGATCTGCAGACACAGTGCTGTCAGACAGGTCTCCATTGCTTGTTTTAGTCTCTTCTGGAAGCATAAGTGAAAATAACAACAGACATATTTATGTTCATGAAAAATTGAATTAAGTAAATAAAAATTGAGAAGAGCTGTACTGCTAAATTTCAAATTAAGAAAATGTTGCATCTATCAAATATTTCTCTGATATCACAAATTATATCTAGATTACCTTAATTTAAAAAAAAAAAAAGCTAAATATTGCAATTGTCATGTTTTGACTGCTTCTTAAAGGGAGTATAGATTTGTGAGAGACCAGAACAGCATCGGGGGTTGACAATGCATGTATGAACTGCTATTACAGTGTAGGCTGTTACAGAAACATGGCTGCAAATTCATTATAATACTGTCCAGACTGGGTAACTTTTTATTTGTAGTTATAATTTACTTTTAAAATCAATTATTTATTATGATTGTGATAAAATGAATTCCTGGTTTTCTGTGTAAAATGTCACATACACATATTTCTTTAACAGCGAAAAACTATGTGACTAACGTATTCAGCAACTATGACTTCATCCCTGAGCAACCTTTAACTAAAATAGAACAATCTAGGCACATGAGTGATGTACATCAACCAGAAAGAACCCAGAGTTCCTTAAGTCCAGAGCAAGGTGTTCCACGGAGACTAAAAGGTTTATTTGTTTTGTGTTAATGCTTTAGGCCTTAAAGTATATTAGGAAATGGAGACAAGGTTCTGGCATCATACAAAGCCAACTAAATTCTTCCAAATGGCTTTGTTAAACATTATCTTAGAACCAAAACGTAACATATACATATTTTCATTTAATAAATACTGACTATCTTCCAGGTAACAGCCTGAAATGATTTTTCAAAAACAATTATTTACTCAGTCTAGATTCCAAAAATGCCTGAGTATGCTCCTTACCAATAAATATTATTTAACTTATGGGACTAAGACTGTTGATATAGTGGTCTATCCAATTCAATCACCTCTATTCAATGTGAAAAAAAATTGTAAAATTTGACAAAATAAGATTAATAAAAACATCTTATTTTATGAAATGTAAGTTTTGTTTTATGAAATACAAATAAAAAGTAAAAGAGAGCAAACATGAAAACTTTCAACTCAGTTACTTACTATACCTAATTTTGAGCTACCAAGTGAAAAGGAAAACCTAAATTCTGTAATTTCCATAAAAAAAAAAAAAAAGGAAACATCCATTTCTCAGGGAAGACAACTGTTCCTAAATTTCAAATCTGAGAGAAATGTCTCATGGTGGTTGGGGGAATGGTGTCAAGTATGAAACACTGAGCAATGTTCTTAAACATTAAAATACACAGATTGAGAAAAGAAAAAAAACTCATGGATATGAACAACAAGGGGTTGAGGGGAGGTGAAGGAACGTATGGGGGGATAAATGGTGATGAAAGGAGATTTGACTTGGGGTGGTGAACACACAAAACAGTGTACAAATCATGTGTTGTGGAATTGTACATGAAACCTCTATTATGTGTTAACCAGTATCACCCCAATAAGTTCAATAAAAAGGAAAAAAAAACATTAAAATATATAAATACTTTCCCATTGTCCTGCATAGAATACAATGGACAGAATCCTTTCCTAAATGACTCGGGCTCATTGCTATGACTATCGGTGATTATGGCTGCATTACACTCCGACTCTCCAAGGCTGGCTATGGAGAGCGGGAAGCTGTGCCTGTGTCACTAAATGGCCCCTGCCACTTTAGACCTTCTTAATCACCACCTCATTCAATGTCTAGTTACCAGCAACTCTGACTCCAGCAACGTTTAGTGTTTCCCCTCCAAATTGTTCCTTCTCACTGATACAGGGTGAGGGGTGAAAGATAAACAATAAACTTGTTAATTTTATTTAAATTAAGAGATGAATGAAACTGAATATTGAGTTACTCCAGAATGAAATACATTACTATGGCACTTTCTTTTCAGTTTCACAAATGACCTATGGAGGTTTTATTTTTTAAAAAGACATTTCTAGTCTGTGTTATTTTTCAAAAGGTAAAAGGAGCTGGAAGTCTGACCAGATAAAATGGGGGATTAGTGTTTACTATTAAGGAAAGATTTGTTGGTTTTTCCCAAATTTAAGCCACTCACTGACCTTCCTTCTCTTTCTTTTCTTGGTTTTCTTCAGCTGCAGTCTTGTCAGCTCTGAAGAAAATTCTTGCACTGCTCAGTGAGAAATAGAGCAACTCAAATTCCTAAGTAAATAAAAAAAATTTGAAATGAAAGCTGAAAATGCTTATTACAAGCAAAATATCCAAATCACATTTAATGTCTTTTTTATTATTTCTAAAAAGCTCCAGTAAAAATCAAAAACAAGAAACTGAAATAACCAATCTATTTTTAAGATCTGAGTCAAATGGCTTCCAAATACCATTCATTTTAAAATATATTCTAATTACCTCTATTCATCTCACTTATTAAAATGGAGGTTTTCATATGATTTATGTTTTTTCAGATATCAAAACATCAAAGCAGATTTAACTATTACTCTTGTCTAACCTGTAGGTAGACATCCAGTCGCTTCTGGGTAAGATTCATGGTTTGCAGTAGTTTTTCATCTTGACAAGTTGACTGCACATTCTGTTGTTTAGCAACTGCTCTTATCTCCTTCAGGTACTTCTCTCTAACAGACTGGAACCAGTGAAGTGAGTCAAATTCCCGGTACTGATCCAAAAGCTTTAGAATGTAAGCCACACCTGCAGCCATGAGCAAAACCAAAGCAAAATACAATGAGTATAGAAGCTGTGTTGACTCTACCAATAACTACTGCTAACATTAAGCTAACCATTTTGAATTAATTCTCTTTTAAATTACATTTTACAGCATAAGTGAGTAATTCTAGAAATGTGGCTTAATTCCTCCTAAAAAAAAATGTGCAAGTATAAAAAATGAAAAGCAGGTCAAGCAAGAAGGAAAAAAAAAGGACATGGCCATGAAAATCACCTGGAAATAACATGGCTGTAAGGATAGGAAAGTTCTACTGCTAACTAGATAATGAAGGAAGCTACTGGGAAACCAGGAAAACTAAACACAAGATGCTAAAACTGTAAATAAAGCCTAACTTAGTCCAACTATACTAAGTGGTTAGCAATACTAAGGGAGCATGAATGATAGTTACAAAATTACGAAAAACAAGTATCAAGCAGATGACCCAGCTAAAAAAATAAACCGTAAATACTGCTCGTGAAAAACAAATTTACAAAGAGAACACAGATCTATTCTCAAGCAAATCTCTCTAAAAATCCAGCATAGGTGAACATAAAACAATGGGAAAACAATTCCATTAAACTTACCCATGGCAAAGCCATCATCAGTAAAAGCAGCTCCAATTTTATTTTTTTTATTCAATTTCTCCTTGCAGCTAATGGAATGCTCTACGAAGTTGAGGGTCTAAAAAGATATGACAACATATTAGAAAAACAACTGTGCTAAAATATCTTCAGAACTTAATTACTAAAACAGATTTCAAAAAGTATAAATAGGGTCTCTTATGGGTTCCTGTCCTTTTGATTTGAAACATTTGCCTCAGATAAAGAGCCTCTTGGAGAGGTCACAATCTGTGCAAGTATTTCTCTCAGTAGCTCTTTTTTCTAAGTTCTTAAACCAAGAGCCCTCCCCTTCAATCACTGCTTCCCCAAGCACACTGCCTTTAATATCATGCAGGTTTTACACAATAGGACTAGGAGGCTTGAGAGGTTCGTTAACTCGCTATACTCTAAGTGAAAGTTGGGTTCAGAAAACTAGGCCTGCCTTACTTCAAATCAGCACTCATAAGCATGGCAGTTCTTACTTCTGCCCACCCAATTCATTCCAAAATACCATTATCATATTCTTGGGTAAAAACGATTAGTAGTCATTTGGGTAAATGAATGCCCCAAAAGAGCACTTCCCTAAAATTCAGCTCTAATACCTCTCTAATCTTATCATTTATTCAACAAAGATTTGCTGATGCTCACTATATTAAGTAATTACGATTACAAAATGAATACCGTCAAAAAGTTCACGCTCTAGAGCAGCGCTCTCAGCAATGTCAGACATGCTATATATCTTGCAGTGCCCAATACAGTAAGCCCCTAGCTCGTAGAACCAATGAGCACTTGAAATGTAGCTAGTAAAACTGAGGAAGTAGATTTTTTATTTTATGAAATGTGAATTAATTTAATTAGTTTAAGTAGCCACTTACATCTACCTACATATGGTAGCACAGCTCTAAAAGGATAAAGAGAGACCTGTTTAAAATTATGATACAGTGTGATAAGTACTATAATAGCTTAGGCTGGAAACAAAGAATCAAGTTTCACTTTTAGTATTGCTTATAAAACTTACTTGGCAATTAACTACATATTTGCGAAACCTTTATCAACTGTTATTTTAGCAATCTCATTTCTGTTTGTCTTTTTTCTGGGATTGATCATAGACTCAAGCATAGGAAGTGTCCTATACTTCTTTGTAGTGCTCTTAATCCACCTGGTTTTCTCCATCACTAAATTCTGACAGCTGCCCTGAAAACTCCACTCTTCCCCAGACTCACAATGATTTCCCATTACTGTTTACTACGGCTTGAGTATACCGCCTTCAAATTTTAAAAAATAATTGCTTGAACTCATCCTAAGGTAATTTACACTGTTATCAAAGTATAACTAAGACAGGCTCCTCCAGTTTGACACTAACTTAAGTTGGAAAGATAACACTTATCAGGTAAATATGGACATTTTTGCTATATGATAATTATTGTGATAGAACATTAATGATAAATGTATAAAAAACAGAAAATTCATGAAGAAAAAAGCTGCCAATAGACCATCAGCTACTTTCAATGGCTATAACATGCAAGAAGATATGTGTAATTCAGGCAGCAATATAAAAGTCATTACTCTTAAAGTTAATCAAAAGCTACTAGTACATCTGATTAGTGATATTTAGATTTCAGATCTATCCATTTTTAAAAGCAGCTTTATATAAAAATTTTTAGGGAAAAATAACTCTTACCACTAATATATACTTCTCTAATTTCTTAACTCCATTTTCCCCACTGTAACAATTGCTTTTATAATGCAATTTTGGGTAACTTGAGCTATTTTAGATGGAAACTATAGAATTAGAACAGAACACACTATACTACCGGTGGTCCGTGAGGTTCAAAAGGTTGGCGACCACTGCTATCTATACTAATAAAAGGATAATATGCTAATTAGACCAGACATCTTCCAGACAAAGCCACGGTGGAGGGGGCCAAGGCAGAGGCAGTTAGGGGTGATCAGGCCAGCAGGGGAGCAGTTAGGGGCGATCAGGCAGGCGAGCGGTTAGGAGCCAGTGGTCCTGGATTGTGAAAGGGATGTCCGACTGCCAGTTTAGGCCCGATCCCGCAGGGACATCCCCCGAGGGGTCCCAGACTGGAGAGGGTGCAGGCTGGGCTGAGGGACCCCCCCGCCCCCCTGTCCCTGTGCATGAATTTCATGCACCGGGCCTCTAGTACACTATAAGGAAGCACTAAAAATTTAGATCAGATGTTAGTAGTTACTACTGAATAGTGAGAAGTTGTCCTCTAACACAATGCTTTTAAGAGATGTGGTAGAGCCCAGCCCAGCCGTGGGCAAACTACGGCCCGCGGGCCAGATCCGGCCCGTTTGAAATGAATAAAACTAAAAAAAAAAAAAAAAAGACCGTACCCTTTTATGTAATGATGTTTACTTTGAATTTATATTAGTTCACACAAACACTCCATCCATGCTTTTGTTCCGGCCCTCCGGTCCAGTTTAAGAACCCATTGTGGCCCTCGAGTCAAAAAGTTTGCCCACCCCTGGCCCAGCCAGTGTGGCTCAGCAGTTGAGCATGGACCCATGAACCAGGAGGTCCTCGTTTGATTCCCAGTCAGGGCACATGCCCCGGTTTCAGGCTTGAACCCCAGTAGGGGACATGCAGGAAGCAGCTGATCAATGATTCTCTCTCATCATTGATCCCTCTCCCCCTCTCCCTTCCTCTAAAATCAATCTTTAAAAATTTTTTTAAAGAGATGTGTTAGAAATAACTTCATGCTGTAACATGATGTAATTAAAGTTAGTCTACATTAATCACTTAAAATGCTTATGTGATATAATTCAGCCCCAAAATGATATATATGCAATGGTATACACTCAAATAATTTAAATCACATTAGGTTTCTCTAGCAGTTATCTATATATATAAAAGCCTAAGCGACCGGCCGACCAGTAGCTATGATGCGCACTGACCACCAGGGGGCAGACACTCAACGCAGGAACTGTCGAGCTGTGGTGACTTGGCAGCTGTGGTTCTAGGGTGACGCACCCAGAACCAGAGAGGAGGGAGCCCGATTCCGGGGTGCATCACCCAAGAACCGCCCTCTCACAATCCGGGACCCCTCAGGGGATGTCGGAGAGCCGGTTTTGGCCCGATCCCCACAGGCCAGGCCGAGGGACCCCACCGGTGCATGAATTCATGCACCGGGCGGGGCCTGTAGTTACCAAATAAGCATCTATTTTAACTATAAATAAATCTCATTCTGCATAACTATTAAGTAAAAATTCGAGGCCATATTCACTGAAATCACATTTAGTTTTATCTACAACCAGAAAGACAGTAGCAATACTGTCTGTGTGCATTCTCTGCTGCAAAGAAATTAGATCTACTTATTAATACTTTTAAAAATTCATTTTAAATGCTAAAAATACTCACCAGAGGGGGGACAATGATATAGAAATTTCGGAGATGTATATTCTTTGGCCTTCGAAATTCTGGTGCAAAAACATCTACAAGCATTTTGAAATACTCTGTGCCTTCAGCAGAATTTCGTGTGTGATCACTGAGGACTGAATCCAAATGCCTAAAATGCAAAAAATTACTTGGTTCCTTTCTCAAAAAAAGGTGTGACTTTTTAAATCCAACTCTCATCAACTTAAATAAGAGCATGCAAAAGTATAAAATATTATAAGACATTTCTAAGTAAATTTTCTTAAGAGTTCAGAATGAATTCATTTTCTGACAGAAGCTGATCAGTATTATTTAAACTTAGTCCCTAAAATAGGATATGTAGGGCATCTTGCAGTTAAATTATTTTGAGTTTTGTATTTCTTCTTCTGACAAGGAGCCCTGTAGAACTCCATTTCATTTAAATAGAATGCTCTTCATCTTAAATCCTTTCACTAATGCTTCTTCTCTACAATTCCTTACCTCAACTGAAATCTTGTTCTTTTTCAAGAACTTAGAATCCTATTCAACCTTCAGAAACATCAGCTGCTTTTTCTCCTGCATCCTTCATGTATAGCTACTTTCAAATTATATACCATTTTCAAATTATTATCCCCCCAGCATTAGAAGGTAGAAATCTTTGAGACTCACATAATCCAACTATACCCAACTACCTAACTTCCTCCAGTAAGCAGGCATCTTTACTAACCCTTTAACCACTACCCTACATTAATTTATCTTGGACTCTGAAACCTACTCCAGCTCCCCTCATGATTCTGGAAGATTCACTCCCCATTCAGATCATTGATTCATCATTATTACCCCAGAGTACTTAACTTCACCTGCCATGAACTTTCCTTCACTTGATGTTAGTCATCCATTCCTTTGCACAGATCTGGACATCTTAAAAGGCAATATCCCACTCTGCCCTCAATGAACTGCTTCAAAATATTTTTTAAAGGTCATCAATTTTTAAAAGAATAACATCACTTAATAAGAGGTAAAATGGTCTGATTTTCTTCTTTGATATACAAGCCACAAACTCTTTTAATCATTTTAGGGCATGTGATTTCAAATAGCTTATTATCTGCTCTTGGCTTCTTTAATTTGGCAGAGAAGTAAGCTATCTAGCAGGATATTTCAGAGCAAATCTTCTGTATGTGTTGGGACCTTATTCTCATAAAAATATACACATGCATTTTCCAGCATATTTTCTATTTTTACTTTAAAAAAGTTAAGCCTATCAAAAAGTTAAAATATAGTATAATGGGCACCTGTATACCTTTCACTAGTTCACCATTTAATATTTTGTTAATATTTGTTTTCTTTTATCATGAAATATTTAAAAGTTGCAGACTTCATGTCACTTAGCCTATAAACACTTTCATATGAATCTATTAATAAGACATTTCCCTACAAAGGCATAATACATTATTATACCTAAAAATAAAATAAAGTAATATATAACACGTTCAAATTTCCCCAATTTTCCTCAAATGTCCTTCTTTTATCACTATTTTTTTTCCTTATCTAAGATATGATTACAGATCATCCACTGCATTTGGTCATCAGGTCTCTTTAGTCTCCTGACCTAGAATAGTCTTCTAGTCTTTTTTGTCTTTCATGACACGTGATATTTTTTAAGAGTCAAGACTAGGTGTTTGGTAGAATGCCCAACATTCTGGATGTCTCCAATGGTTTCCTCATAATACATTCAGAATAAGCATTTCTGGCAAGAATACAACATAGGTACTTGCTATTACATTTGCAGCAAGATGCCACATGTCAGTATGTCCTGTTATTGGTGATGCAAAGTTTGATCATCACTTGATGAAGGTGAAATATAGCAATCTCTCCACTGTAAAGATACTTTTCCTCTTTGTTATTAATAAGCTATTTATGGGATAATTTTTTGATGAAATACTCTATTCTCCAAAAATATTTTAGAATTCACTGATAATTTTTGTCTGCTTTCAAGTATTATAGTAGTGATTGCAAAACAATTTTTCCGCCTAAATTTCCTCATCCCTTCTTTGTTAGCGTTCTTCTGTAAAAAGGAACTTTCCCTCTGCTCCTCTAACCTTTATTATCACTATGACGCATGGTTTCTATTTTTTATTCAATGTATTAATGTATTTTATTCAATATATTACAATAGATTTCTATCATTATTCTTTCTGAAATTCAAATTGTCTCCACCTTGCCTTTTCATGCCTGACTCAATAAACTGTTATAATCTTATATAAAAACCTAATATGCAAATCGAACAGCCAATCCATGATTCTCTCTCATCATTGATGTTTTTTTCTCTCTCTCTCCCTCTCCCTTCCTTTCTGAAATCAATAAAGGATATATATATCCTATATAATAAAAGGCTAATATGCAAATTGACCGAACAGTGGAACAACCAGTTGCTATGATGCGCACTGACCACCAGGAGGCAGACACTCAATGCAGGAGCTACCCCCTGGTGGTTAGTGCGCTCCCACAGGGGGAGTGTTGTTCAGCCGGAAGACGGGCTCATGGCTGGCAAGTGCAGCGACAGTGGTGGGACCCTCTCCCACCTCTGCGGCAGCACGACTGCCAGACATCTCCCGAGGGCTCCGGAGTGCGAGAGGGCACAGGCCAGGCTGAGGGATCCCCCTGAGTGCACCAGGCCTCTAGTTATTAATAACAAAGCTTAGTTTTCTAAAGTATTTCTCTGTTCTGCATTCTTCTCTCAAGTTTTAAATTATGTTCCAAAATCACTACTGACTCAAGTCTATAGATCTGCAAAGTCCAATAAGACAGCCATTAGATATTTATTTACTTTTTAATATATTTTTATTGTGTTCAGAGAGGAAGGGAGAGGAAGAGAGAGCTAGAAACACCCATGGTGAGAGAGAATCACTAATTGACTGCCTCCTGTATGCCCCCCACTGGGGATGCAGCCTATAACCGGGCTTGTGCCCTGACGTGAACTGCTGGTTCATAGGTCGAAGCTCAACCACTGAGCCACACCAACGCCATCAGGGCCCATTAGCTACTTAAATGTAAATGAAATAATATTTAAAATTCAGTTCCTCAGTCCCATTAGCACTACTTCAAGTGTTCAAAAGTCACCTGTGTTCACAGCTACCATACTGGACAGTGCTGGTCTAGGTTACATGGTATTCTAGAACAGTGTTAGCAAATAAAAATACAAAAAAGTACAAAGAAACAGGTGAAATTGATTTTATTAACCAGCTATTTGGCATTTATTTTATACTTTACACTTTGGCACATTTCCATTTGGACTAGCTACATTTCAGATGTTAAACAGCTGGGTGTGGCTAGTGGCTACTATATTAAATAGTATGTTCTAGAACAGCGGTCACCAACCGGTGCTCCATGCACCACTGCTGGTTCGTGAGGTCCGAAAGGTTGGCAATCGCTGGTTTAAGGAAACCTTTGGAGCAGCGATCGCCAACCAGTGGTCCGCACACCACTGGTGGTCTGTGAGTTCTGAAAGGTTGGTGACCGCTATTCTGGAAGACCCCTTTTTATTGAAGTTGGAAAGGTCTCAGAATACTGTAGTCTTAAAAAAAAAACATATAAACTGAGACCATAACTTGTATAATAAAAACAGTAACGTATGTTTATATAGGGTGTCCCAAAATTCATGCAAGAAGTAATTTTGATAGAAAACACAGGTTTATAATTAAAAATTGTAAATTTTTTATTGATTCATAAAGTATACAGTATAGGGTTATGTATGGAATAGCACATCGGGTAAATGGCCTCCACAGCTTTGCTGGCACATACGCAAAGACGTGGTCTTCATTGGTCTTCACTGTCCCTGCTCCTGGGCCATAATTGGTACTTGGTAATGCTTATCAAATTGAAGGGATTGAAATCAAAGGGTAACAGATATTAGAATCTGATTCAATAAACCAAGTAAAATTAGGCTTTTATTTTTTGTTGTTGTTGTTAATGCTCACACAAAATTCAAATCTTGCGTGAATTTTGGGACACCCTATATATTACCCCCTAGTCTTTCTTCTTAAGTTTTATATAAACATATACTTTATAAATCTCCAAATATAGATTATTCCAAAATGAGATTACCTTGCTGCTTTTATTGTTTCTTCTGCAAGGCCTTCTTCTTTTACTAATTCTTCAAAATTTATAATATCTTCAAGATCAGGCACAAATCTACATAAGAATTTGAGAAAGAATTTATGAAGGCAAGATAAATAGGTACAACTGAAACAGAATAGTACTGTTGGACTCTAAATTTTTCAACTACATATTTGAAAAGAACTTTGCATTTCAGTTATATTACTATTTTCATCGCTTCAGTTCCAAAGTTGAATTTTATATATAAACTAGAGGCCCACTGCACAAAAATTTGTGCACTCAGGAGGGTCGCTCAGCCCACCCTGTGCCCTCTTGCAGTCTGGGACCCCTTGGGGAATGACCACCTGCTGGCTTAGGCCTGCTCCCCAGGGGATTGGGCCTAAACTGTCAGTCAGACATCCCTCTGGCAGCCCGGGAGCCCTCGGGGGATGTCCACTTGCCAGCGGGGAGCAGGCCTAGCTGCAGTCGGACATCCTTAGCACTGCTGAGTAGGCGGGAGAGGCTCCCACCACCACCGCTATACTGGCAGCCGTCAGCCTGGCTTGTGGCTGAGCAGAGCTCCCCCTGTGGGAGCACACTGTCAACCAGGGGGCATCTCCTGCATTGAGCGTCTGCCCCCTGGTGGTCAGTGTGTGTCATAGTGACCAGTGATTCCCAGTTGCTCTGCTGTTCGGGTCAATTTGCATATTACCCTTTTATTATATAGGATAATCCAATTTTAATCTTTAAAATCACAATCTTTAGAGCCATTTACAAACTGTACTGATAAAATAAATTAAAAGAGAAATAAAGATTTTCCAAAAGTCTGCTACCTTAAATTTTAAGAAAAATATTTTAACTAGTAGAATTAATAGTTTTCTTCCATTTTTTATATCAAATTACATCAACAAGAAAAAAACCTTCTATACAATTTTAGAATAGATTTAAGTAACATAAAAATTTTAAATGGAATAAACAAAGCAAAAGTGATGTTTTATCCATACCTAATGGCATTGCTGCTACAATGAAGACCACCAGATCTTATCATTCGTACATAGCCCATAGCATTACCTTGAAAATTGCACACATAAAAAAATCAGATATAGTTATATGTAGTAATCAACTACAAGGTGTCCACTCCTTAATATCCAAAAGATTCAGCTGTATTTTATTTCAGTTCTTGCTCCATAAAAATGAAACTTACATATTTGTACACTTAAAATATAAATATACATACTTATATACATCTATATTAAATCCTTTAAAAATAAATTAACTCATTTGATAAACTAAATGCTGACTACATTAAAACGTTTTTACTGTAATCTCTTCACTCTCATATTGAGTCAGTCTATCAATTATTTCTGCACCAACAGTCTAATCATGCTTGAAAAACTTTTGATAAGTTACTCTAGTGAAAGAAAGCTAAGCTCAGACACTCACATATTACATTATTTGTATGAAATATTTAATATATGAGATAGATTCTTGGGATTTGTACTTTATTTCCCAACACTGTGATTATAACTTACCAATTTGGCTGATGAGTTGCCTGAACTGATCAAGGTAGCTTTGCCCTTCTGGGGTTATTCCAAGTTTTCTGATGCCTCGATTGAATTTTTCTGCTCTTTCAAATGGATACTAGAGAGATCATTTAAAGACTACTTTTAGTAATAAAGACCCCTAAAATATAAAATGCCTACCAAATCAACCAGGCCAATACCACTTTCCTCTCTAATTTTGTATTTCCATTGTGCTTAACAAATCACTCAAGTCTAATAAGAAAATTTATAGCACAAAAACTACCAATGTTCAAAGTCAGTATAAAATAATTTTTTTTACATAAGCTAAGGGGAATAATTATTAATGTCACCAAACTTAAGTTTCTCACCACCATTATTAGTCTCCAAACACCCAACTATTCTATCAGATAAATAAATGAAACCAACTCCTCCCTAGAAACATTTGTTCAGAGACGTGTGAACGCATTTCTGTGGGCTAAATAGGTATTAGGGACTTACATAAACACACTCTTCCCAAATAACACACATCGGCCAAGCTAAAATTTCTGGTAGCTATCACCAATAAGAAATTATTTTTTTAAGTCTTAGGTGATTAGAAGATATAGGAAATGACTCATTTTTATTAATAACAAATGAAAACAATTCTTACACAATAATAGCATGGTTATTTCTTTGTCTGAATACTAGTAATTTCTATTTCAATAAAAATGAAAGTTAATATAATTATCTGATAACTTTAATCTATAATTTTATCATTTTATAAGAAAGCAGTATTTTTCTGCTCTGACATTGAAGAGAACTACCAAGTAGTATATAAGACAGTTGGAACTAAGTGATGCTTAAGAAGGGTAATTAAAATAGTTCTGGATGTGGCAAGTCAAATATATGACCCAACTAAGGCTACTGGTTCTCTATCCAAGTGGCTATGTGCCTCTGTACTGTTACCACTTACAATTCTTTACCTCACTATGAGAAAACTCAGCCTGGAGGATGAAGAGAAAACAGCATTCTTATAAATTACTAGAAGCCCAGTGCATGAAATTTGTGCACGGGTAGGGTCCCTAGGCCTGGCCAGCAATCAGGGCCAATCGGGGCCTTCCGGCTGCCGGCTGGGGCTTCCCTTCCCTGGTTGCTGGCTGCCTGCTGGGGCCTTCCTTCATTCCACGCTGCCCCCTGGTGGTCAGTACACATCATAGCGAGCGATAGAACTCCTGGTCTCCTGGTTGAACTCCCGTGGGGACACTCTGCATATTGGCCTTATATCTATAGATAGGTTGGAATGTCAATTGGTACAGTACGTATCCTAATTTTAAATACACATATTCGTTGCCCTAAAAATTTCTCTTCAAGGAATATGTCTTTCAGAAACAGTCTGTGAACACACAGATAAGGATGCTACCTGTAGCACTGTTTGTATCACTGAAAAATGATTTAAAAAAACTAAATATTCATCAGTGAGAGAAAGTTAAATAAATTTCGGTATACATCTTTACTATCAACTCTTAAAAAGAACGAGGTGGATTTATATGTACTGACATGTAATAAGCACACTGTAAAACAATATATATAGTATTACTCCATTTTTGTTAACCATTTGCTATACACACAACAGCTGAACTGAACTACTTGAAAAGATTATATAAAATACCTTATGATCATTTTGGTCCTTGATTTCCCTGAAAAATCGAATATCTTTAATCAATCTGGATTTGATATGTTCATCATACATAAACTGGCTAAATATATAGAACTTCTTTTTCAAAAACTGGTACGTGAAATTAACCTATAAAATTGGAAAAGTTAATATAAAAATTAATTTTAAATCAATATTACTGAATTATTTATATCATAAAGTCTAATATTTATAAAGTCTAATTTACATTGGACCTGAAATATTTAAAAATTTTTATTCCCTAACTTTACAGAACTTCCTATGAATTCCTCTTAAATATGTTTACTACAAAAGGAAAAGAAAGGAAGAAATGGAAAATACTTTCATAATATGTCTAAGAACTATAGAAAGAATCACAATACCAGATTCAACACTCTTTAAGTCATAAGCCAGTCAGAAGTTTCTATGTTTCTCCATCTATAAGATTACTTATTACTAACATTCATGTCTAGAATGATACTGAAGACAGTAAGCATTTAATTATTTATCAAATATTTTGAGCATTTCTTACATGCAAGTTATGTAAAACACAGTTCTCATCACGAAGTTTATAGTCTAACAGGAGTGACAGACATTTTAAACAAGTATACTTTAAAGAAGTTATTAAATCTCAACTGCAATTTCTAAACTGAGAAGTGTAGGTGCTTTGAGAATGAATAACAAAAGACCTCAACTAAAAACCCTGAAAAACTAAGATTTGAGCTGAGATTAAAGTCAAAATAACATAATTAATTCTGACCTACAGATGGAAGTCCTGTACTAAATTCCATCCCTACCACCTTCAAATACTAATTGTTTTAGCACATGTATGCCATTTTTAAGAGTCTTTCATTTACCCTGTTATAGAAATGGGTGCTTTCTCAGAACTTCCCGTGGCTTAGTAGTAGCAGTCTTAGTAGAAACAGTCTCTTCTTTATCTTCCTCACTCTTAACACTGGGTAACTGTGCCAGCCTCTAATCTTCTTCTTCTTTGCTAACTATATCATTATCAGACACCACAAATTTACTTTCATTAATGTGATTAATTGACTGAACAACTATATCCCCCGCCAGACTGTAATTACTAGGAGAGTAGGAAATGTCTGTTTTTGTCACCCTAATGCCTAGCACAGTGCCTTACATATAAAATGCCTTACATATAAAATATGTGCATAATTATATCTGTTATATGAGAATCTGATAAAGAGTTTATTTATCCTTAAACATTCGGACATGACCTTTACATGGATGACTCCCTTATTTTAAATTTGAAACTCTAACTTTCTGTCTCATTTCCGTACTGGTAACCACTAACATAGAGCTCCAATTGTATCATTTATCAACTCAAATACTTTAATGACTCCCTCACTATATACTACAAAGGTCCCTATATACTCTTCCAGTTACATAACTTCTATTCCCTTATTCCAAAATATGTTTGTAACATTTTACTATTTTAGCATTCACATTCTTTTTTCCTCAAGAAGAAATACTAGTAAGTATGCCCTGAAAACCAGGCAAATTCAAAGGCTTCTTTTCTTCCACAGAAGGAAAAACAGCATAAAAGTGATTTCTTCAAGTAATTGATGCCCATTTCTAAGATTCAAAATACTTTGAGTAAATTGCTATTCTTATGGATATCAAATAATTAGTATGCCCCCCCAAAAAAACAGCATGAGTAATACTATTATCAATGATTCCCTTTCAAAAGCAACTTTCAGAAAATATCAATCCACACAGACATATAAATTTATGCTGATGCTCTCAAATCTGTATTGCTTTTTATAATGATGACCCTGAGATGGTAAGATATTGTAAAGTGCATTTTTTAAAAAATATATTTTATTGATTTTTTACAGAGAGGAAGGGAGAGAGCGACCCTGAGATGGTAAGATATTGTAAAGTGCATTTTGTGTCACAGAGTTTCCATCACATCCAACACAATTTTAGTGCCATATATTTTAATTATACCAACCAGAAAAATGGAAATTCCAATATAATATAAATAAGCAGTAGTGTATACTGACCAGAATATTCTATGAAAAAACTATTTTCCAAAATAACAAATTAAACAGTAGTCTACTACCCACCCGACCCCCAAAAAAGATTCTTACTGTTGTATTCATGATTCCTGTGCCATGTGTTCGAATTGAATTAGCAATATGCCGAATATTAATAGTGTTCAAATGTTTGTTATTGCTTGTTCGTTCAATAAAAATCTGCAATGAAACAAATTTATGCTAAATAACAATACAATACATAGCAATCTCTGATCAGTTATCAAAAAAATTTCAGAATCTATTTCATTAAATTTAATTGGAAAGTTATTCAAGATAATAAAATCAAAGCAAAGAAATAAACAAGATGAACTCTAAACAATTATTTTTTGCTTTATTTTGCCAATTTGCACTATTGAGAATCAATTCTTTACCCTTCAGCCTTCCTATTATATATCCACACACATTAAAAAAAAAAATTCTAAGACCCACTCACCTGATTGTTGAGATTATAGAGGTATCGAGACACAAATATATGAATGTTTCTCATAATTTCTAAAACATCCAAGCCCTGCAAAACAATCCACAAAGAAGTTCTATTATTATTAATTTAAGATAATCAGTAACACTTGTATTAATATAGTGACTTACTATTTATATTCATTTCCCAATATAGATAAGATAGACAGATAGATAGATAGACAGACAGACAGACAGACAGACAGACAGATAGATAGATAGATAGATAAATAGATAGATACTGGAGGCCCAATGCACGAAATTCCTGGAAGGGGCTTGGCCCTTGAAGCCATGGTGGCTTGCCTCGGCCCTCCGACCAATCGCATCACACCCGCCTTGGCTGGCCTGGCGCCAGTGCGTGTCATAGCGTGGTCGTCCAGCCGGTCATTCTGCTGTTTGGCCATTTGGTCAATTTGCATATTACGCTTTTATTATTATAGATAAATTTAAGCATTTTTCCTAAGATATTAAAGTTTATGTATTATATCTAGGTTTACAATCAGTTGTGTGACCTTGACTAAACTTTTTATAATTCTGCAGAAATCACCTGGATATCCCAGTGTTTCTGGAAAGCTATATGAAAACCTATATGCACAGGCATACCTCACTTTACTGTGCTTCGCTTTATTGCACTTTATACATATTGCATTTTTACAAACTAAATGTTTGTGGCAACCTGCTTGGTCAAGTAAGTCTACCAGAGCAGTTTCCAACAAGCTCAGATGATAGCATTATTATAGCAAAAAATATTTTAAATTAAGGTATGTACATTTTTTTTAGACATATGCTATTGCACACTTCGATTACAGTATAGTATACACATAACTTTTATATGCACTAGGAAACAAAAAAATTTGTGTGACTTGCTTTACTGGGATATTCACTTTTATTGCAATGGTCTAGAATAAAACCTGCATATCTCCGAGGTATGCCTGTATTTCAAATGTTCACCAAAAAGTGAAGTGTAAACAGGAAGCCTATGGTAATTTCTCTAAAAAAGCAAATTAGCACCATCTAATTTTTTATTGAGATTTTATAAAACAAATATTTTCTTAAAAAATAAACATGTAATAATAAAGTTTAAAAAAAAGATTTCTTAAAGAAATGTTATGCTACAATCAGAAACATTTTATACCATACCTGTTCCAAAGTCTGACTAGGAAGATGTGCCTCTGTCATAACCAATCCATAGCGCTGAGTAGCTAAATTTCTCATTTCACTGTAAGTGGCCCAGTCATGAAGAGCTACTGTTGTAAGATTGTAGAACGTCTTATCTAGGTAGTGAGTTACATAAGCTAAAAAAAAAAATTTTTTTTTTCAAAAAATTTCAGATTCATGAAATGATAGAAAAGAGAAATAAAACTAAAAAGGAAACAACCTGTCTTTGAACATTAAATTTCCTTTTTCTAAATAAGATGCTAGGAAAATAAAAATACACAAACAAAAAGGAATTAAAGAATGGACTAATACTAAAAAAGATATAAGCCCAAAGTTTCATTTTTGTTATTTGTTCTTTTATAGTGAGGGCAAAAAGATATAGAATATGACTTTCAGAAGGAAAGCAGAACACTCACCTCGAATGTCAATGAAACGATTGAAAAACCGAATTGGATTCAGAGAGAAAAAAAGGGCCAGGTCTTTCATGCCAACTTTGAAAGGGTTTCGGTCATCCAGCTTCAAATGAGTATGCACAGAAAGGCGCAGATCCTTCTCTATTTCTTTGCACAACTTGTCCAGCAAGTGCTATTCACAAAATAATTAATATCTTAATTTTTCAAAATTCAGTTATACTGTTCTGTCTATGCTTTAACCATTAGCATTTTATAACCAGTGCAATGATAAAAAATTTGTCAAACTGGTTTAAGATTCCAAATACTCTATGGTAAAATATTATTTTTATTGGGAAAGTGAAAATTACTTTGCTCTCCATTTTAAACCAATGATTTTTCTGCCCAGGAAGCAGTTAAACTCTAAGTTTTTATTTTCATTAATACTTTAATACCCTTGAAAGAAAATCAAAAGCTAATGCCAATGGCTTCATTACAAGAAACAGGAATGTATACTATAAAGCATAAGATTTATGGGAACAAGCAACAAAAGAAAAATCTTGAGAAAATGGAAGAGAAGAAATATTTTTAAAGCTTTCTTATAATAATCATTAAAAATCACAAAACTCATTGAGCTAAAAGTAATGATAGTAATCATCTTTTCTGGTCTACTATGAAGTTCTAAATACTGTCAAGTCATATTTTATTTTCTAAATAATATGTAATAGAAGAAATTATGAAAATTCTCCATAACTTTATCAAACCTGAATAAGGTTTATATTGTGAAGTTTACTCATTTTTAATTACTTTCCTTATAAAAATATCATTAGATGAAACTTTAATTTTAAAGATAACCGTGTTTATAATACTTCATTCAAACAGGGGAAGATGCACTATATTGCATTTGAATTATTTCTGCTACAAAAATAAATCTTCCAAATATATAATGTCCTCCTTTTAGTCAGTAGCACTCCAAATGAATTTAATAAGATCCTGACAGTTAAGTTTAATATTTAATAAAATATTGACAGTCTTAAGTGTATTATTAGTAGTAGCATTCAATATTCAAACCAATTTTGTATTTGCATTCTTCTAATAAAGAGAAATTTAAATATAAATATACTATTTACTAAAGTAAAGAAAATTTTCCAAATTTCTACTCTGAATCTCTATATAAAAAATTAGAAATTAAAGACCAATTTAGCACAATAGTGATACTATAACTAAAAATGGTTTCTTTGCTCTAGACCAGTGGTTCTCAACCTTCCTAATGCTGCGACCCTTTAATACAGTTCCTCATGTTGTGGTGACCCCCAATTTGATTGTTACAAATTGAACATAATTAAAGCATAGTGATTAATCACAAAAAAATATGTAATTATATATGTTTTCCAATGCTCTTAGGTGAACCCTGTGAAAGGGTCGTTCGACCCCCAGAGTGTCGCGAGCCACAGGTTGAGAACTGCTGCTCTAGATAGTGATTTATAAATTATTTTAAATATGTGAAAGCCTGCTTCAACCCAAAATGTTTTTCCAAACATTGCATTCCAAATACATGTTCTAAGTTTTTCAATCTCATATATGATGTTACCTCATTTAAAATTTCCATAATTTCCTTGTCATAGCAATCCAGAAGTATTTCATACGACTCTAAATGTCTTGAATGCATCATAGCAGGTACACAGTCCCGTAAAGCACTGAACATGTACTAAGAAGAAAATGAGAATGTGCATAAATTTATAAAAACCAGGTCTCTAATCTAAATATTACAAAAGTTAATTATCTATCTTGAAAGACAAAACCTCACTCTGAAGGCTAATTGCTCTTTTTATACATGACTGTCTTCCTTTCCTAAATGAGTCAGATTTTAGTCTCTAAAGTACCTATTTTAAATATACAAATAATTCACATTCACTTATTCTTTCCTATTTTGAGCATTCAAATACATTTCTTTCCATACAGAAATACAAAGGTCTAAATAATTGTGACATAAACTAAAATCAAGAAAATGAGAATGATTAGGAATATGAGGGGAAGTGTTAAATTGTATATTAAAATTAATTTACTAAGTATTAATATGAAATTTAACTATAGCCTATATACCAGGTGTACTGGTTAATAATGTGGATGTTTTTCAATAGATGGAGTTACACACATGTTGACATATATGCAATTTGATATGTATGTTATTTTGTTGTATTGACAGCAAGCTTCAAAACTTTATATGTCAACTTTGCCGAAGGTGTTAACATCATAGATATTTTTAGGCTTAAAAATGTTGAATTTCGTGCCAAAAAAAGAGCATTTGCAGGAAGTTTTAATTCATTACTTTATTTTGAGGAAAAGTGCTGCTGAAAGCTTCAGGAAGCTTATGGTGAACATGCTCCATCTCAAGATACTTGTGAACACTGGCTTAAACGCTTTAAAAGTGATGATTTCGAAGTGAAAGACAAATAATGTCCAGGTCAACCAACAAAGTTTGAAGACCAACAATTACAAGCATTATTGGATGAAGATGCATGTCAAACTCAAAAACAACTTGCAGAAAGATTAAACGTTGCTCAGCAAACAATTTCCAATCGTTTACAAGCAATGGGAAAGATTTTAAAAGAAGGAAAATAGGTACTATATCAACTGAACAAAAGACAAATGGAAAACCGAAAAGTCATCAGTAAAATGTTGCTTCAA